GAAAAGGGGAAGCAGGAATAACAGGAGGGCAGGGAGGAACCTGAGTACAGACTCCACCCTGGCCCATGTGACTAGGGAAGTGATCTTGGCCCAGGAGGAGGCTCAGTGCACAGAGAGGAGAAACAGCACAGCCCACCACCAGGACAGCGGTGCTTGTGAGCATTTCTGGAATCCAAACTCTTCCCACAGAGGGAGAGACAGAGCAGGCAGCAGACACCATGGAGTCCCCTTCAGCCCCTGCCCACAGAGGACTTGTCCCTAGGCAGGGGCTCCTGTTGGCTGGTGAGTGGGGACAACTAGCTGGTGGTGGAAGGGAGGAGGACAGGCACAGGCTAGCTGGGCACTCCTCCGGTGCACAGGGCTCTCAGACAAAACAAGGGAGAGGGGGTTTCTGTTTGGGCTTGAGGGGAAAAGACATGGAAGCAGAGTAGGATGGGGAGGGGACTCAGCAATAGAAAAATGATGTGGAAACAATGAGGGAAAGGAAAAACTCAATGACTGCTCATTTTCCAACTTACTCATCACTGAGAGTTGAATGCTGAAAACTTCAGATAATAACAATTTATGTGAGGATATGGGGGATTTAACCAGAGGCAGTAAACTTTGTCCTTACCACCAAGCTCAGAAATGAGCAGATACATCCCAGGAGGTACAGGACCCTGCAACACTCATTAATTCACACAAGGGCACTTACAACCTATTGCAGACACTGGGTGTGCAACCAGGTCAGACAAACACCTGCCTCCATGAAGGCCATGTTCTATGGGAGGAGGCAGACAAGGGAAGATCTAGATGTGATGTCAGGTCCCCTCTAGTGCCCTGCAGGGAACAACCCAGGAACAGATCAAAAAGTGAAGACAGAGGCCTTTAGAGGAGGTGATCAGGGAAGGGGTCTCCCAAGGACACCTCTGAGTGTCAACAGGGGTCTGAGAACAGACACCTGGGTAACAATATTCAAAGCAGAGGAAATAACAGGTTCAGAGGTGCTTGCTGAAGTATTGGTGGCCATGCTACTGAACTTGACCACAGGAGACACACACACAAACACACACACATACTCTGACCAAGGCTGAGAGATGAAAAGACCTGCTCAGGACCCATGGACTCATCTCTCCATTCCAATACATAGTTCCAAATATTGATCAATTTCTCTCTTCCCTCCTAGCCTCACTCCTAACCTTCTGGAGCCTGCCCTCCACTGCCCAGTTCACTATGGAATCAGTGCCCCCCAATGCTGCTGAAGGGAAGGATGTGCTTCTCCGTGTCCACAATCTGCCTGGGGAACTTAAAAGATATGCCTGGTACAAAGGGGAAGTAGTGGAAAACAGTAAAATTTTATCATATAAAATAGTCACTCAATCAACTAACTATGGGACTGCATACAGTGGTAGAGAGACAATATACCCCAATGGATCCCTCCTACTCCAGAACGTCACTCTGAAGGACACAGGAAAGTATATCCTACAAGCCACAGACAAACAATTTGATACCAAACAAGTAACTGGACAGCTCCATGTATACCGTGAGTGATTGCTCTCTTACATCTGGGTGCCGGGTGGGGTGAATTCTACTTCACACACAGGACTGACAGCCCTGGACTCCCCTCCAAACTCCTTCAAATCATCTCCCAGGTTGGGTTTGGGCATTTAGTGCAGGACACACACAGTGGAGACAAACTTCCTAGGGTCAGAGTTCCCTTCACAGATTCCAGCCCTACACACATTCTCCTCAGAGAGAAGTGTGATGGGAATGACTCAGCACAGGGAGACTCAGAAGAGTCTCACTCCAGCCCCTGGTTCCCTTCCCATGACCATGACACTGAGAAAACCCTGCAGAGCTTGCACACACCCGGGCCTGAGGGGACCCTGGAATCCTCACAGAGAAGCTCAGCCTGGGAACCCCTCCCAGACCCTTGTCCCAGGGCTCTTGACTCCAGGGAACCTGGGAGCCTGAATCAGGTTGGATTTGACCTCCTAGAGGGCTGGGTGGGAGGCTCTACACCTGCTCACCTGCCAGGGCTCAGTCCCAAGAGCCACATCAGGACAGCTACAGAGCGTAGTCCTTCAGCTAAGGCATGTCGGAAGAGCACAGATAGAAAAAATACCCCGTACTATTAGCTAACACTTCTGAGGAACTTAGGAGAATCTGGACAGAGGTCAGGAACAGATGGGAGAAGATGCTCCTGGCAGCTCCTTATCCACCAGTGGTCAGCCCAGGAATTCTCTCTAATGGAGGCAAATAATGTCAGTGGCCATTTAAATCAGTGTGTCCTCCATCCTGGGCTTGAAATCAAGTACTCAGGGATGTTTTAAATTCAGTCCACAGTCAACATGGTAATCCAGAGTCCACTTAGCATTTGTTCTTTTTCAATTGAGGGGAAATGGAGGCACAGTGTGATACAGTCATGGCATCAGGCTCTCACAGATACACCAAGGTCCTTGCACAGCCACATCCCACCCTCTCCTCCACCATGAGGGTCTTAGGTGCCTGTGAACCCTGAGACCAGCCATTGGTTCAATGCTTTTTCTTAGCAGTCCCAGCTCAAGGTAGATATCCTGCTCTGGTGATTAAGCAAGTGGAGAAATAATTTTTACTCTAGAATCAAATTACCTACAATAACATTCAGAGTCAATGCTGGGATCACCCAGGTCTTCCCCTCAGGTTACCCATCCACCCCTCCCTGCACTGGACTTGAAACCACTTATTTCTCTCTTAAGGTGTTGGTGTCATTCCCACTAGCTATAAATGAAGGGACTTTGCCTTCTCCCCACTGTACACCTGCTAACAGCTCAGGGACCAGCAGTCACTTGCTCTTTCATGAAGGAGGGAAGAAATGATGGTGAATAATGATATAATGAATGAATGAATGAATGACACATTATTGCCTCAGAGACTGGAACCTGGATGCAGAATCCTAAAAGGTTTTAGCCACACCTGTGCCCTATCCCTACAGGGCTGAAAGCCATGTCCATTCCTTTGACCTCTGTACCTATAGCCCTCTCAGGAGCCAAGTCCCTTTGTACTGTAGGCTGTTCTACTGTAAGAAGGTTTTCCAGGCTGCACTGCTTCTGCCCTGGGGCAACTGTGGCCTTTGAAGTCACATGAGACCCCCACTGTTCACCAAGGACATTCTGCCTCTCTCTATTCCTTCCATGTCCCTTATGTGCCTCCTCCATGCCAGACACACTGCCTAGCTCTGCTCTGCTTCCTCCACCAGGCAGTCTCCCCAGATTGTCCTGCTAACAGCTGTGTCCAGGCCCACCTTCCCGGGCAATAGGAGAGGACGCAGAAACAGTGGAGCAGCAGCCCTGGCTCCCTCATGAGCCAATATCCCAGGTCACCAGGAGAAAGAGCTTCTGCTGGGCCCCATCAGGGCTCCTATTCCCCATGAGGCCCACAAGAGGAACAGACCATATGACAAAGGCATGTAAACCTTTGATCTACTCTCTACATGACTCAACCAGGAAGTCAAAGGCAGGATAGGTCTGATCCCCCAAAGCTCATGGGTTCACTCCACCTCTGACTGGTGATTCACACCCTTGTCCTTGTATGAGGCTTCCATTCCTTACACTAGCTCCTGAGACCTTTCCCAGGTGAGCCTAGTGACCCTGTGCCATCTCACTGGTTCACTGCCTGTTTCACACACATATGTTCTCTTGATAACACCTTGACCACAGGGTGGGATCCTCTCAGACTGTGAGATTCACCAGCCACTCTCCTTTCTCTTAGACGCAGCCCATTTGAATGAATTTTATTCAATTCCAGTTGTTTCCTGAGTTAGAAAGACAAGGAAGAGCACATGCCATATGCCCATGTGGGGGCTCCTCCCCATCTGCCTGACTGTCCATAGAAACAGGGAGGGACCTTCTTCCTAACTTTACTAACATGACACAAGTCTTTTCTACCAATTTGGTGTTATCCCTCCCTTTACACAGCAGAGACACCTGGACTCACACTTCCCCACACGCCCCATCACTTCTGTTCTCTTAGCAGGACTCACCTTCTCTCTATCCCAGGGAGTCCCTCATTTCAAACCCACTGTGGCATCTCCCTTTAGTCACAGTGTGACCTGATTGGATGGCAGAACTTGGTCTATGACCTTTGTGCTCTCTAGATAGAAATTCCTCCAAAAACTGGCATTAGAACTTTGGAGTATGAATGATATTCACTTATTCTTTCAAAGTTGAACTCAGAATCTATCTCATAACTAACAAACACAAATGGCCCATGAGGACCATATTTTCAGCAAGTTCATGCTCCTCAAACTTCCACTAATCCCCCTTCTGAAGGTGCTTTGTCTGCACGTTGAGGAAAGATCCCTGCCCTCTGCAGTGGCAGAAAGGACATTACAGACCAAGACCAGAGAGCACGGCTCTACTGTCACTGCCAGCCAGTTCCCCTGTCTCTCACTCTTGACTAAATCATGACCCTGCAGGCTGGGTAATGAATTGACCGCCAGATTTGCTTCTGGTCTCCCATGTACTGTTTCAGCTCAGATACCCAGTTCAGGGCCAAACTGCCCAGTCCTCTTGGGGTTTAAGGACTATGGACTGGTCCATCATTGCTAATCTCTAGGTTAACCCTGGAATGTGAGGCTTCAGTGGAAATACATCTCGACCCCGCAATATAGGTCTGTTTAGTTGGAAGGAACTTATCACCAACACATTCCAGGTGAGACCCCAAGGTCAGCCAGACAGTCAGCAGGTCAGTGAGGAGCCAGGACAGATGGTGGGTGGTCTCTAATTCCCAGTCCTGTGTCTTTCCGTGATCAAACCCTGATAGTTGTGTGACACCTGAGAAAGCCTGTGCTTTTTCTCCCAGACATAGAGCAGGAGCCCTTACCATCTCCGAGCGCTCAGCTCCCAATGCATTTGTTTCTCTTGTGATGCACAGACCTGCCTTACTTCTTTAAGAACTCTAGTGAGCTGAAAAGCACCAATTCTGATTGAAGAAGCATTTGGAGGTCTCAATTGGCAATGTTCTCTCTGTTGTCTGCACAGCGGTATTACACAAACCCAGGATCACAAGCAACAACTCCAACCCGGAGGAGCACAAGGACCCTGTCATGTTAACATGTGAACCTCAGACTGAGAACACCACCTACCTGTGGTTGATCAACAGTCAGAGACTCCTGGTCAGTGTCAGGCTACAGATGTCCAAGGACAACAGGAATCTCACTTTACTCCTTATCACACGGAATGACACGGGACCCTATGAGTGTGAAACCCAGAACCCCGTGAGTGCCAGCCGCAGTGACCCATTCACCTTGAACGTTCTTTGTGAGTAACCTCTGTCCCTGCCTGGGCCAGGCTGCCCACCCGAATCCACACTGCCAGAGGCCAGGCCACATCGCTCCCTCTCAGGTCAATGGACACAGACCCCCACTCTGAGCACCCAGGGTGACCATCTGTTCCTGGACCATTTGGGCAGATTCAGCCTTGAGCCAAGACTGGGAGGGGATGGGATGCTCCTGTCTGGAGAGGCTCAGGGTTAACAAGCTTTCATGGGACAAACAGGTTAATGTCTCAGACTCAGGCTCAGTGAACACAGGGGCTATGGTTGGGACTTTTTAAATCAAGGCTGTGACACAGCTCAGAGGGAGAGTGTGGCCTTTACACAGACCAGGATCTACCCCTTCCCTCTGATTACATCATGTGTGGCTGTGTTCTCTCTGCTCCAGATGGCCCGGACACCCCCACCATTTCCCCCTCCGACTCCCATTACCTTCGTGGGACAAACCTCGGCCTTTCCTGCCAGGCAGCCTCTAACCCACCTGCACGGTATTCTTGGCTTATCAATGGGAGGCCCCAGCAACCCACACAAGAGCTCTTTATCCCCAACATCACTGCACATGACAGTGGATCCTATATCTGCCTCGCCCATAACTCTATCACTGGCCTCACAGGAACCACCATCAAGACTATCACAGTCTATGGTAAGTGCCTCCTGGACCATCAGCACTAGCTGGGGTTTAGGTCTGTCTGGTTTTCAGAAAAGAACCTGGAGGGTGTTGTCTCCATTCCTGTGGCCATGGACACAAGCAAATCACAGTCTTCCCCTGAGCCCTCCCACTACATTTCTGTAGACTCCTCTCCCTTACTCTTCTGATCTCTCATGGCAGAGCTAGGGTCCAGCCATGGAAAGTGAGGAGGGGTTCTCTCAGCCCCAGAAAGAGTCAAGTGGTGGAGGGAGGGGGCTTCCCAGAAGTAAGACAAGGGTCCTCAAGGTCAAGTTGCTTCTTCTGTCACTAATACTTTCCTTGTGTCACCTCTTGTCTATTACCTGCTTCGTGTGCTACAAGGAACATACAAGGCTTTGAACAAGCTCACCTCTATTCCCCAAACTAAAGGAGGACATCACCTCTGAGGAGGGATGAGCAGGTCAGACCCCTGCTCCCTGCACTGTTCCAGGCTCACCTGGTGACTGGCTGCTCTGTGCCCTCTGTGGTGGGACAGGAGTCTGTGGTGATGGGGCATGGGTGGCCTATCCTCTGACTGGCCAAATCATGTCATCCATTGACACCATGGCCTCCCTCAGACCAGGCTGCATGTAAATGGGGAGTGGGTGAGCCTCTGAGCTGTGTCCTGACTCTGAAGTCACCTATACAACACTGTGCGACACCAGTGTATGTGACATTCCTACCGAGAGCAGTGAATGATGGTGCTTACTTGACAAGAAGGTAGATTCATGGGACTAAAGGAGCAGTGCCACAAAGTGTGTTGTTTACAAAGGGAGCTAAGAGTACCAGCTGTTGCTAAAACTGACTACTTCTCTCTAGGGACGTCCTTCTCCCTGATATTTAATCCACAGGCCAAGAAGTGATCATCCTTTTCAGATGGAGAAATTCTTTAGATTGAAACTTCTCCAGGTCTTAAGGTCACGGCTGGACCATTATCATTCTCTAATAAATTATTTAACAAAAAAGGAAATGCCTTTCCATCTCTGTGTGTAGCTACCATTCCAGAGAGGGGGTGTGAGTGTTTAGAAAGGTCTGGGAAAGAGTCACACAAAAGTCAATGGGTGGTAATGCCACCTGGTGATAAAGATGCTGGACACAGCTCTCAGGCTCCTGGTGCTAATAACTCAACTGTCCAGTGAGACAGGTTAGGATCATCCTGAGTTGATCTAGACTGTCACCTAAACAAAGATTGTCACCCTGAAGCAGTCAGATACCTCCTCTGGTGACCTTTACAGAGCTCATCGTAGACTGTGAGTGGCTGACATCTTTGAAGAAGGAGCCCACTCCCACTTAGTCACCTATGGTGTCCACAGAGCCCGTAGGAAAGCCCGCCTACTGAGCCAGCAATGCCACAGTCACAGAGATTAAGGACCCCATGGTCCTGACCTTTCTCACAAATGACAGAGATCTCCATCTGGTGGCTCTTTAAGAACCAAAGTCGTCTTCTCATGGACAGAATGAAGCTGTCCTGGGACAACAGCACCCTCACCATTGACCCCGTCAGGAGGGAGGACTCTGGGGGTTATCAGTGTGAGGTCGCCAACCCCGTCAGTTGCAGCAAAAGTGACCCCTTCAGGCTAGATGTACAAAGTGAGTGACCCTCGACTTCTCCCACTTGCTTTTGTATATTTCACGGGCAAGAGGGTGAGATGAATGAACGCCTTGAGGAGGTGGGAGCCTCCCTCAGAGCCTATAGAGCACATGGGTAAGGACCCCAGGATTAGACTAATCTCGTCATTGTCTCAGATCTATGAGTATTAGCTGTCTGACCACAGGGAAGGCTCTCACTCACCTGAGCCTCAATTTCTCATCTCTAAACTGGAATAAAACAGCTGGACCTAAACACTGTTGTTAGGATATTTATTGTGAGGTTAATGAGAATAAATCCCTCAACCAGGGTCATGCTCAGTCAGGACTCAGTCAGTGTATCAATTATTACTGTTATTTTTTTAATGCTGTTGTCGGTAGTTGTAAAGTCAAGCAGAACTCGGTGAAAATGTCAGTTATTACTCACTGGCTCTGTGACCGCCAGCCATTTATTAAGCACCTCCCATCCCTGATTCTGTTTGTGCTCATGGGGGTGACACCACCCATCCCTTGGTGGGGTGGAAGGACCAGATGACATGAAGGTAAAGTATTTCTCACCCTGCCTGGACTATCAAAAACACTCAGCACATTTTTATTACTCATCAGCACTGAGTTGACAGGTAAGGTGCCTGCTAAGACTGTCCATAGTGATGGAAAAGAAGAAGAAACAGGGGTAAGAGACTGAATATGTGTGAGAAAGAGGAGTAGAGGAAAATTACCAGGACATGGGAATGGTGGGTGTAAGAGTACATGCAAAGGTAGAGCAAATGGAAGGTTTCAAATGCACAAAACAGAGAATGATGCAACCACCGGAAGTGGGGTGTCTGGACAGACACTCACAAACCGCACAGGCTAGGTGGCAGTTCCTTCCTCCCTCACCAGGCCTCCCCCTGCAAGGCTCCTCCTGGTTTCCCCTGAATGGACTTGGGCCTTCTACCCTTTTCTTTTCCCTTCTCCTTTCAGCAGAACAAACCTACACTGGCTACTCTGTGGGGAACATTGTTGGCATCGTGATCGGGATCCTCGTCATGGTGGCTCTGGGGGCCACCCTGGGCAATTTCCTGTGTCTCAGGAGGACTAGGAGGTACCATGGCATTGCCTCACCCTCACCCTAATCCTGTCCCCTGACCCAGGCTGACCCCCAGCAGAGCCCAGGCCTGGAGGACAAAGGCCCTGTCCTCAAAGGGTAATGGGCCAGCTCCCTGTGGCCTCCCAGCTTCCCCATGGATGTCCTTAACTCTCCATCCAGCTCCTCCCTCACCAGCTGATGACCAGAATGGTTCCTCAACAGCTTCCTCACCTATAAATGAGGCATGATTAAGGAACTGTGCCCTCAGACTGCCCTGGTTCTCTCCACACACCTGCAATGGTGACAGCAGGTAATAAGTGCTCAATAAGGCACCTCCTGTTGTTTATCTAAGTCCACCCTCCCAGGTGAGAGGATGGGCTGCCTCAGTGTCTGAAAGTCATCCTGGCCAAGGACACACAGCTGAGGGTGGAAGACCATGGACAAGGCAGGGTGTGTCAAACGCCTCCTGATGTGTGAGACGGGACTACAGCAGGGCCTACAGCAGGGTCTGTGGTCTGGTTTTTGCCTCTAGGTCAGGGGATGGAGACATGACAAGAGCTCTGTAGGCCTGAGGGGTGGGTCTGGCCACAGCAGGGCACCATCCCGATGCTACATGAGACTGGCACTGCTGCCCTGTGGCCTTGAACTTTCCACTAAGTCAGACCCTCGGGGTGGACTCCTGTCTTGGGAACTCAGTCCCCTCCCTGTTACTCCTCCCAGACCCCCATCTGCCTGTTTGTCCTTCCCCTGTGGGCCAAGTTCAGCCCAAGATCATTAAGGCCTTTCCTCAGTTCGCCTCTCCTTGGCCTGTCCCCCCTAAACAGTGGAGAGAGGCCTCCACCCTCTGCTGGGAAAGAAGACCCTCCCTTCCCCCTGTTGTAACACCAAAGCTCCCTGCACCCCTCACAAGTAAGTCTGTCCTTTCCCAGGGCCAGTGACCCACGTGATCCCCAAGTGGCCCCACCTCCAGCGGCCACCCCTGGTGAGTGTCTGTTCAGCCTGGAGCCCCTGGGCCTGCTCCAGAGTAGCCACCCCTGCCCTTGTCCCTCATGCTCTGACCCTTCCCTAGGCTTCAAGGGGGATTCTCATCACCACTCTGTACAGGGACCCCTACTCGCCAGTCAACCTGACCTGTAGGTTCTGTCATGTGAAACCATCTCTCCCTCACTGGACCCTGAAATGGCCAGATGGTCTTGCTCTGGGAAATGACATTTTACCCCTGGCTCTTGGGAGTTAAAGAACCACCCCCTCCTGGGAGAACAGGCCAAAGCTTCCTCCCCCGTGGGTGCTAACACCTCCTGTCTCTGCTCCCAGGCCAGGGTCCCTCTGAAAGCTCTGCCTTCTCGGTAAGTGCATCCCCTCCCTGTTTCCTCACCCAGGGCCTCAGCGACCCACCCTCAGGGCAGGGCACCATACAACCTCAAAAAATAGCACAGACCCCTTTCCCAGAACAGCCAACTCAAGGGTAGCCCCAACCTGGCCTACTTTCCACATCAGGGATGGACAGGGTCTGAGGGGAACCCTGGAGTCCAGCACAGAACAGAATGGGCACTGGGAACACTAGGCAGAGGTCCCAAGCTAATAAGAGTGTGGGGGTGCAGTGTGGGAAGAAATTGGGGTGCTGGGCTACAGGTGTAAAGACAGCTGCTCAGGAGGCAGAGCTGTCAGTTCTGCAGAGAAACCCTCCCTCCTCGTTCTCTGATGCCCTCTCTCCCCCCTGCACAGGGCCCCCTACCTAACCCCAAGACTGCAGGCCCCATCTACCAGGTGAGTGTGGGGTATGAACCTTCTGTCCTGCAGGTCCCAGGGGGAAACCTACTTCCAGCCCAGCCCTGGCTGTGCTTCCAGCTCAGGAAAGGGCAGTGGAGAGTGACCACAGAGGGTGAGATGAGGGAGGAGCCTGGGGACAGACACCCAAGCACAGTCAGACCCCAGGACACCTGTGAATCATGGCACTTGTTCTGAGAAGGCTGCAGGGCTCAGAGATCTCTTCTTTCTTTGATAGGAATTAGTCAACCCAAACACAGAGGTGTACTGCCAGATCAGCCCCAGAGCAGACGTGGCTTCTTAGTTCCTCCAGGACCTGACACCCCAGGCCCTGTGGATGTAGCCTGCGCCAGAGCATCATGCTAAGTGAAATAAGCCAATGGGAGAAAGATAAATATCACATGATCTCACTCATTTGTGGAATATAATGAACAAGATAACCTGATGAACAAAAGTAAAGCCAGAGGGGAAACATATGTTTTAATATAATAGTAATAATCCTGTTATTGGCAAATTTTTAATATTTGCTACAATGTTTGTGATATCATATTACAGTTTTGATAATACTATTATATTTAAAATCCTATTTTCTTTAAATATAAATGTTTATTGCATACAATATTATATTAAGATTGTCTTTCATGAATAGTTTATATATATTGCATTTAACATTATTTTATTTAAAATAGTTTCTCTTGAGATAAAAATAACATAAAATAAAATGTTGTAAGAGATTGCAGAGAAGAAGAAACAGAGAAACCTAGCCATTCAGAATTAAAATGGCTATAAATAAGTACCTCTCAATAATAACCCTAAATGTAAATGGATAAAATACTCCAATCAAAAGGTATAGAGTAGCTCAATAGATACAAAAACATGACCCAACTATATGCTGTCTACAAGAGACCCACATCAAAACAAAAGACTCACATAGGATGAAAGTGAAGGGATGGAAAAATCTTTTCCATGCAAATGGAAAAGAACAAAAGCTGGAGAAACAATACTCATATCTAACAAACTAGACTTCAAAACGAAGGCTATCACAACAGACAACAAAGATCTTTACATAAAACTAAAGAGATCAATCCAACAAGAATATTTAACCCTGGTAAACATTTATGCACCCAATATAGCTGCACCTAAATATATAAAAAATCTTCTAGAGAACTTTAATGGATACATCAATAACAAAACAGTCATAGTAGGGGACTTTAACTCCCCTCTGATTTACTTCACTGGACAGATCTTCCAGACAAAAAGTTAACAAGGAAACAGACTCTAAAGGACACACTGGATGAGATGGATTTAACAGTCATTTATAAAACATTTTACCCCATCCAACCAGAATACACATTCTTATCAAGTATCCATGGAACATTCACAAAGATAGACCACATGTTAGGACTCAAAACAAGTCTCTAAAAGTTCAAGAAAATTGAAATGAGATCAAGCATCTTCTCAGATCACAATACAGTAGTATGAAATTAGAAATCAATTACAGTAAAAGCACCCAAAACATTCAAACAAATGGAATTAAATAGCATGTTATTAAACACCGAATGGGTTACCAACAAGATCAAGAAAGAAGTCAAAAACTTCCTGAAAACAAATGAAAATGAACACACAACAGCCCAAAGTCTCTGGGACACAGCAACAGCAGTCCTGAGAGGGAAGTTCATAGCACTACAGGCATACCTAAAAATAAAAAGAAAAAAAGAAAAAAGAAAAATCAGCAATAAACTATTTAACCTAAGAACTTAAAGAACTAGAAAGAGAACAATAAGAAAATCTCAGAGTAAGTAGAAGGAAGGAAATAATAAATAGTAGAGCAAAAATAAATACCATAGAGACTAAAAAAAAAAATACAAAAAGTCAATGAAACAAAAAGCTGGTTCTTTGAAAGGATAAACAAAATTAATAAACCATTAGCCATACTCATTAAGAACCAGAGAAAACACCCAAATATTGAGTTACAACTACATTATTATCTAACTCCAAGAAAATATTCATGAACTCTCTTTAACAGAGAGTTATCCCCAAGTAATCCCCAAGGCACACACTACCAGCATCTAAATTAGCAGGAAATACCATCATTTCCTTGGTCTTCCCCCCCAGCACCCTCCCCCACATGCCCACTTGTAGACACACAGAGTGGTAACAATTGTCCCTGCATCTCTCCTTTGTTCAGCTGCTGCCACCTCCTGGCTGATGATGATAAATCAGGACATGGAGCTTGACAGCCTGGTCTCACAGCTGACCAGGAAGACAGGACTGGGCCTCCAGATTGGTGGTTCAGGGACAGCAATGACCATTCTGCAGCCCTGGTGGGACTGGGTAGTTGGACAGATAGACCTGCTTGAGTGAGAGGGGGACAAAGAGTTGATGCAGGACTGAGTAGGGAAGGACTGAGGCCTCAGCTTGGAGCACTGAAGGAGAGGGAATGGAATGTTCACAGGTAAAGGGCTGGATTCTGCAGAGGAAACGCTCTGGTGCACTGACTCAACTGCAGCCGCTAAGCAGGCTGTGTGTCTCCTGCTGACCCTCATCTCACAGCTCCTGCCTCCAGGAATAAGGCTCTCTCCTCACATCCACCTGCCCTCCCTCATCTGGGTTCCTTCATCATTCCCTCTACATGAAGGGGCTCTGAGTCTGGAAGGAACAGTGGGGAGATAGAGTTCCCCACAGTCAGCCTGGCAGTGGTGACCTGAGGAGGGTGGAGGGTGTCAGGGAGGTCTTCACCCTCCCACTTCCTGAGTCCTGATCTGAAGTTGATGGCGAAGCCCCCACCACCTGCTCCCTCAGGTGCTGAGGGATGAAGTTGGGCAGCTTGGGACCCACTGTGACTGGCCACTCAGCCTGGAGGTAAGACCCACCACTGCCCAGGGCTCAGGGTCAGCTCCCTGGTCAGCATCCCTGATGCAACTGCAGGTCACCTTATGACCTCCAGAGGGCGACAATGGGACACACAGTCAACAGGAAATTAACATAGGAACCTGGCTTTGATGAAGATGGGAAAAGAGCCTGATGTCTATATCACAGACCCTTTTGGACCCCTCTCATATGTTCACTTTGTCCCACAGGCTCCTTCTAGGGGGCTAGGAGCACCTGCTCTCTCAGGGAGAGTGGGCACCTTGTGCAGCTCCCCACTTCCTGCAGCATACCATCATGGGGAAGGCAAGGTGACCACAAGCAAGTTCCTCATGCAGAGGACAGAAGTTGCCCCAAGAGTCAGGGAGCACATGGACCAGCTTAGCCAACACACACGGAGAGGGAAGATTTACCTAAAATCGTGTCTCTCAAGAGCCAGGAAACACAGCCACATGACCTCTTACCACAGTCTCTTCTTCCCAGGATACACAGGACCCCGTCCCTGCCTCCCCAACTGAAGGTCCTACCGAGACTCCTGGTCCTGGGACTCTGTCTCTGGAAGCAGAAACCAGGCTGGTGACACCCGAAGACAGAAGGTGGATCCCCTCACCAGTCATCACTCAGACGACCCCTTCCCAGCCCCAGAGTCACATCTGTGACCTTCCTGTTAGGAGGAAATGCAACCTTCTCAGCTTGAGAACACGGGGAAGGTGCGGTGCCAGCTGGGTTTCTGTGTCACACAAATAAATAATCCCCTGGGTTTGAGGATCCCTGGGACTCTCTGTGTGGTGCTGACAGACCAATGGCCAGGACACAGCACAGGCCAAGGCTGAGATTAAGTGGATAGGTTGTAATTTTAGGAAGCAGGAATCCCCATCAGCCTTGCCATTGAAAGTGCTTTGTGCCTAGCCGGTTTGGCTCAGTGGATAGAGTATCCCCCTGCAGACTGAAAGTTCCCAGGTTTGATTCAGGTCAAGGGCATGTACCTTGGTTGTAGGCACATCCCCAGTAAGGGTGTGCAGGAGGCAGCTGATCAATGTTTCTGACTCTCTATCCCTCTCCCTTCCTCTCTATAGAAAATCAATAAAATATACTTTTTAAAAAGAAAGAAAGTACTTTGCAGGCCAGTATAAGCAGCATCTCCTGACAGCTTGTTAGATGGAGACTGTTGGGTCCACCGAACACCTTTGGAGTCACAATCTGCATTGTTAATAGGACCTGCAGACCCTCTCTGTGCACATCCCCACATCACAGGGTCTCATTCTAGCTGGGCATCCACCTTAGCTAGGCAGTTGCCAAAGCAGCATTTCTAAGGTGTCACCTGGCATTGAAATCTTTAAAAAGTTCCATAGATGATACAATACACAAAGGGGTGGCAACCCTGTGACAAGAATTCCTGATGCCGCTCCAGGCTTCTGCTCTGAAGATAAGAGCCAAATGGGTTGAGAGAAGGCGGTGGGAAGGCTACTGTGCACTCCACACAGAGCTGTGGGAGATGCCCCGGGTATGTACACCCCAAGCTTCTGCTTGTCCACATGTGAGCAGTGGAATGGCACCAGGTGCTAACCTATGGGGTAAGGCCCTCAGTTCAGCAACCTCGGTGCTTGACTTCAGCTAAGAGAAGAATTCAGAGTTAAGAACTCAAATTATAACAGAGAGTTTATTTAGAAAGTCATAGAGGTAGAAGTGAGCTGTAGAAGAAATGGGCTCACAAACTAGTTACAGAGGCAAAAGAAGGACTCTTGAAGTTTGGGAGAAAGAGAACAAAGTTACGCACCTTGAGGAAAGAAGCAAGTAGGGAAAGGCACGGGTGTGCTCCAGAGAGGAAGAGCCACACTGCGTCCTACTTGTTTTTTTGGTTGTTTGTTTGTTTGTTTGTTGTTGTTTTGGGGGGAGATAGATGGGAGGCCTTTCTTTCACTCTATTAGTACCTATAAAATAAAATAAATTATGAAAATATCTCCTTTTTCAACTTAAAGAAACTACAATCTTTGCAACAACAACAACAAAAAAAACACACCCAGCCGAAACCGGTTTGGCTCAGTGGATAGAGTATCCCCCTGCAGACTGTAAGTTCACAGGTTCGATTCTGATCAAGGGCATGTACCTTGGTTGCAGGCACATCCCCAGTAGGGGGTGTGTAGGAGGCAGCTGATCAATGTCTCTCTCTCATCAAAGTTTCTAGCTCTCTATCCCTCCCCCTTTCTCTCTGTAAAAAAAAAAAAAAAAAAAAAAAAAAAAAAAAATCAATAAAATATATATTTAAAAAAATACACACCCATAATTGTTACAATACATGTCTTTTTATATACCTTGGACATTACAAAAGCGTAATGTCCTTACGCTTTTAATAAGAATCACATCCTATAAAAGTTGGGAGAAGAGACATTTTCTCAAATCTTGGTCATATATTGGGACATTTAAGTACTTAAACTACATTGTTGAAATAAAATGTCTCTAGCTCCAGGGCCAAAGGGATTTAACTTTCAAGGCCCATAGGTGCTTTTATTTGTGCAAGGTCAAGAACCGGGAGAAGGTTCCCTGAGTGTTAATTTACTTTAGGTAGGTTAAGCAGTGGTTTACTTTCCATACTTTATCATGGAACTAAGGGAGACGGGAGGAATAGGCCATGGAAACCCATCTTGGGCAGGTCCCCTCCCTAGCATTCCTATTTATGTAGTATGGCTCCTACAAGAGGATTTTTAATCCTTGACCTCTACAATGCTGATTCTATACTAGTCATTATCTAAGATACTTGCAAAACGATCTTATATTGTGAATTAGGATAAAGTTATGAAAGTGTGACTCTCCTAAACAGACTTCATTTAGGATTTGTCAGGTGGGAACTATAGGTAAACCAAAAGTTCCCTCTTGGAACTATTGGAGAAGATCCTTTCTTACTAAGGCATAAAGCTCAGAAGCCAAGTTCCTTCTTACTTTGGAAGAAGGTCCTACTTCTTGAGGGTAGTTATCTGGAGGTCTCAGGGGAGGATTCCAATAAAATATTTATCAGCTTTCCAGGTGCATCCTTTCAGGGTTGAAGATCAATGCAGTAGATCCTGATATCAGCAATGTTCACACTCATCTGCTTTTGCTGCTTTTCTGGGCCTGGAGCTGAAATACCACTGAGGCGTAGATGTAGTTGATGCCAGTCGGAAACTCACTGTTCTGGGGGCTTAATCCTGAAGGGCTATTCTTTGGTCCTCTTGTTCACTTCCCTTCTGAGGGCATCTAACCCACATGACTAAGAATATGCCAGGAGGAAAGGTCAGGGAGGGCCTGAATCACATGACCAGTGATATGAAAAGTCAGAAGGTCTAAAATGCAAAACCAGGATATGCTAGGCCCTTGAGCCACATGCAGCTCTTTGGCCCCTTGAGTTTTTAGCAAAGGCCAGCTTGGGAGTACCCTAATTAAGTTAACAATAATGTACCTACCTCTATAGTTAAAGTTTAAAAAAAAAAAATTGGCTCTCAAAAGAAATTTCAATCATTGTACTGTTGATATTTGGCTCTGTTGATTACTGTGTTTGCCCATCACTGTGTTAGAGGATGAAAGGTTACCCTGGGGACATGGTCCCAGCATAGTTGCCAGGTACCTAAGGCTTTCCATTCTGGTGACCTTCCCTACTGGCCTATTGTCCTACTTTACTCAGGCCTAACTGCCTACTACACAAACAAGGTGTGTGTGTGTGTGTGTGTGTGTGTGTGTGTGTGTGTGTGTGTGTACATGGGAGGAGTCACTGAGGGAGAAGGTAGAAGCCTCAGCAGGTTCAGGGAATGAAAATGTAGAGGGGGGAAAAGAGGAAGCAGGAATAATAGGAGGGCAGGGAGGGACCTTGGTACAGACTCCACCCCTGGCCCTGTGACCAGGGAAGTGATCTTAGCCCCTGAGGAGGCTCAGTGCACAGGGAGGAGAAACAGCACAGCCCACCACCAGGACAGTGGTGCTTGTGAGCATTTCTGGAATCCAAACTCTTCCCACAGAGGGAGGGACAGAGCAGTCAGCAGACACCATGGAGTCCCCTTCAGCCCCTGCCCACAGAGGACTTGTCCCTAGGCAGGGGCTCCTGTTGGCTGGTGAGTGGGGACAACTAGCTGGTGGTGGAAGGGAGGAGGACAGGCACAGGCTAGCTGGGCACTCCTCCGGAGCACAGGGCTCTCAGACAAAACAAGGAAGAGGGGGCTTCTGTTTGTACTTGAGGGGAGAAGACAGGGGAGCAGAGTAGGATGGGGAGGTGACTCAGCAACAGAAAAATGATGTAGAAATGATGAGGGATAAGAAAACCTCAGTGACTGCTCATTTCCCAAATTGTTCACACTGAGAGTTGAACACTGAAAACTTCAGATAATAACAATTTATGTGAGGAGATGGGAGATTTAACCAGGGACTCTAAACATTATCCTTACCACCGAGCTCAGAAATGGGCAGACACATCCCAGGAGGTGCAGGACCCTGCAACACTCACTCATTCACCCACAGGCACTTACAGCCTGTTGCAGGCACTGGGTGTGCAACAAGGTCAGATGAGCCCCTGCCCTTATAAAGGTCATGTTCTATGGGAGGAGGCAGACAAAGGAAGATCTAGATGTGATGTCAGGTTCCCCTAGTGCCCTTCAGGGAACAGTCCAGGGACAGATCAAAAAGTGAAGACAAAGGTCTTTAGAGGAGGTGATCAGGGAAGGAGTCTTCCAAGGACCCATCTGAGTGTCCGCAGGGGTCTGAGGGCAGACATTTGAGTAACAGTATTCAAATCAGAGGGAATAACAGGTTCAGAGATGCTTGCTGAAGTATTGGTGGCCATGCTGCTGACCTTGACCACAGGAGACACACACACAAACACACACACATACTCTGACCAAGGCTGAGAGATGAAAAGACCTCCTCAGTACCCATGGACTCATCTCTCCATTCCAATACATAGCTCCAAATATTGATCAACTTCTCTCTTCCCTCCTAGCCTCATTCCTAACCTTCTGGAGCCTGCCCTCCACTGCCCAGTTCACTATGGAATCAGTGCCCCCCAATGCTGCTGAAGGGAAGGATGTGCTTCTCCGTGTCCACAATCTTCCTGGGGAACTTAAAAGATATGCCTGGTACAAAGGGGAAGTAGTGGGAAACAATGAAATTGTATCATATGTAATAGAGACTCAAACAACTATCAATGGGCCTGCATCCAGTGGTAGAGAGACAATATACCCCGATGGATCCCTCCTGCTCCAGAATGTCACTCTGAAGGACACAGGAGAGTATATCCTACAAATCGTACTAAAAGATTTTGCTATCAAACAAGTAACTGGACAGCTTCGTGTATACCGTGAGTGATTGCTCTCTGACCTCTGGGTGCGGGGTGGGGTGAATTCTACTTCACACACAGGACTGACAGCCCTAGACTCCCCTCCAAACTACTTCAAATCATTTCCCAGATTGGGTTAGGGCATTTAGTGCAGGACACACACCGTGGAGACAAACTTCCTAAGGTCAGAGTTCCCTTCCCAGATTCCAGCCCTACACACATTCTCCTCAGAGAGAAATCTGATGGGAGTGACTCAGCACAGGGAGTCTCACTCCAGCCCCTGGTCCCCTCCTCATGACCATGACACTGAGAAAACCCTGCAGAGCTTGCACACACCCTGGCCTGAGGGGACCCTGGAATTCTCATCGAGAAGCTAAGCCTGGGAACCCCTCCCAGACCCCTGTCCCAGGGCTCCTGACTCCAGGGAACCTGGGGAGCCTGAGCCTGAGCCTGCAGGGCTGGGAGGGAGGCTCTACACCTGCTCACCAGCCAAGGCTCAGCCCCAAGGGTCACGTTAGGACAAGGACAGAGCCTAGTCCTTCAGCTAAGGCTGTGTCAGGAATGCACAGATAGACAAAATACCCCATATCATTAGCTGACTCTTTTGAAGGACATTAGGAGACTCTGGAGGGAGGTCAGGTCCCCAGGAAGGAACAGAGGAGAAAAGATACTCCTGACAGCTTCTTATCCACCAGACGTCAGCCCAGGAATTCTCTCTCATGGAGGCAAATAATAGCAGTGGCCATTTAGGTCAGTGTCTCCTCTATACTGGGCCAGAGGTGAAGTACTCAGGGATGTTTTAAGGTCAATTCACAGACAACATAGTAATCCAGAGTCCACTTAGCATTTGTTCTTTTTCAATTGAGGGGAAACGGAGGCACAGTGTGATACAGTCATTGCAACAGGCTCACACAGACACAGCAAGGTCCTTGCACAGCCACAGCCCACCCTCTCCTCCACCACGAGGGTCTTAGTTATCTGTGGACCCTGAGACAAGCCATTGATTCAGTGCTTTTTCTTAGCAGTCCCAGCTCAAGGTAGATTTCCTGCTCTGATGAGTAAGCAAGTGGAGAATTAATTTTCACTCGCAAATCAAATTACCTCTGCAATAACATTAAGAGTCAGTGCTGGGATCGCCCAGACCTTCCCCCCAGGTTACCCATCTACCTCTCTCTGCACTGGACTTGAAACCACTTATTTGTTTTCTGATGTGTTGGCATCACTCCCACTAGCTATGAAGGAAAGGACTTTGCCTTCTCACTCTCCACCCTACACCTGCTACCGGTTCAAGGACCAGCACTCACTTGCTCTTTCATGAAGGAGTGAAGAAATGATGGCGAATGATGACAAAATTAATGAATGGCACATTATTGCCTCAGAGACTGGAACCTGGATGCAGAGTCCTAAAAGGTTTTAGCCACACCTGTGCCCTGTCCCCACAGGTGCTTGAGAGCCATGTCCATTCCTCTGACCTCTGTCCCTGAAGCCCCCTCAGGAGCCAAGTCTCTGTACTGTGGGCTGGTCTACTGTAAGAAGGTTTTCCAGGCTGCACTGCTCCTACTCTGGGGCAGCTGTGGGCTCTTTGAAGTCACCTGTGACCCCCACTGCTCACCAAGGACATTCTGCCTCTCTCTGCTCCTTCCATGTCCCTTATGTGCCTCCTCCTTCTTGCCAGATACATTGCCTAGCTCTGCTCTGCTTTCTCTACCAGGCAGTCTCCCCAGATTGTCCTGCTAACACCTGTGTCCAGGCCCACCCTCCTGGGCAATAGGAAAGGACACAGAAAACAGTGGAGCAGCAGCCCTGGCTCCCTCATGAGCCAGTATCCCAAGTCACCAGGAGAAAGAGCTTCTGCTGGGCCCCATCAGGGTTCCTATTCTCCATGAGGCCCACAATATGAACAGGCCACATGACAAGGGCATGTAATCCAATGACCTACTCTCTATATGACTCAACCAGGAAGTCAAAGGCAAAAGGACAGGTCTGAGCTCCCAAAAGCTCATGTTCACACTTCACCCCTGACTCATGTTCACACTCACACCCTAGTCCTGATGCGAGGCTCCCGACATCTTCCCAGTGTGGTCCTGGTGATCCTGCACCATCTGACTGGTTCACTGCCTGTTTCATACATGTGTGTCCTTATGAAGACACCTTGAACACAGGATGTATCCTCTCAGACTGTGAGATCCACCAGCCACTCTCCTTTCTCTTAGATACTGCCCATTTGAATGAATATGACTCAGCTCCAGTTGTTTCCTGAGTTAGAAAGATAAGGAAGAGCACATGCTATGTGCCCATGTGGGGGCTCCTCCCCATCTGCCTGACTGTCCATTAAAACAGGGAGGGACCTTCTTCCTAATTTTACTAACATGACACATGTCCTTTCTACCAATTTGGTGTCATCCCTCCCTTTACACAGCAGAAACACCTGGACTCGCCCCCCACCTCATTCCAACCCTTACCTCCCATCACTTCTGTTCTCTTAGCAGGACTCACCTTCTATCTAGCCCAGGCAATCCCAGATTTCAAACCCTCTGTGGCATCTTCCTTTGGTCACAGTGTGACCTGATTGGATGGCAAAATTTGCTCTATGACTTTCCTGTTCTCAGACAGAAATGCCACCAAAAACTGGCATTGGAATTTTGGGGCATGAGTGATTTTCATACATTCTTTCACAGTTTAATACAAAATCTATCTCATAACTGACAAACACAAAATCTATCTCATAACTGATGAGGACCAGCAAGTTCATGCTCCCCGACCTTCCACAGGCCCCCCTTCTGTACATGCTATTGCCTGGGTGTTCAGGAAGGATCCCTGCCCTCTCAGTGGCAGAAAGGACATTACAGACCAAGGCAGAGAGCATGGCTTTGGTGCCACCACCAGCCAGCTCCTCTCTCCTTCACTCTTTACTAAATCATGGCCCTGAAGCCTGTATAATAAATTGTGCACCAGACTTGCTTCTGGTCTCCCATGTATTGTTTTTGCTCAGACACCCAGTTTAGGGCCACACTGCCTAGTCTTCTCAGGTTTAAGAACTACAGGGTGGCCCATCATTACTCATCTCTAGGTTAACCCTGAAATGTGAACATTCAGAGGAAACACATCTCAACCGGCAATGTAAGTCTGGGTAGCTGGAAGGGACTCAGCACCTGCACATTCCAGGTGAGACCCCAAGGTCAGCCAGGCAGTCAGCTGGTCAGTGAGGAACCAGGAGAGGTGCCGGGTGGCCTCTGACTCCCAGTCTTGTGTCTTTCTGTGATCAAACCCAGATATTAGTCTGACACCTGAGAAAGCCTGTGGTTTTTCTCCCAGACATAAAGCAGGCGGCCTTACAATCTCCGAGGGCTCAGCTCCTCATGCATTTGTTTCTCTTGTGATGCACAGACCTGCCTTATTTCTTTAAGAACTCTAGTTAGCTGAGAGGCACCAATTCTGATTGAAGAAGCCTTTGGAGGTCTCAATGGGCAATGTTCTCTCTGTTGTCTGCACAGCGGTGTTACCCAAACCGAACATCACAAGCAACAACTCCAACCCGGAGGAGCACAAGGACCCTGTCATGTTAACGTGTGAACCTCAGACTGAGAACACCACCTACCTGTGGTTGATCAACAGTAAGAGTCTCCAAGAGAGTGCCAGGCTGCAGCTGTCCAAGGATAACAGGACACTCACTTTACTCATTGTCATGAGGAATGACACAGGACCCTATGAGTGTGAAATCCAGAACCCCGGGAGTGCCGGCCGCAGTGACCCACTCACCCTGAATGTTCTCTGTAAGTAACCTCTATCCCTGCCAGCACCAGGCTGCCCACCCAAATCCACACTGCCTGAGGCTAGGCCACATTCCTCCCTCTCAGGTCAGTGGACACAGACCCCCACACTGAACACCCAGGGTGGCCATCTGTTCCTGGACCAGGCACATCTGAGCAGGCTCAGCCTTGAGCCAAGACTGGGAGGGGATGGGATGCTCCTGTCTGGAAATGCTCTGGGTTAACAAGCTTTCATGGGACAAACAGGTTAATGTCTCAGACTCAGGCTCAGTGAACACAGGGGCTATGGTTGGGACTTTTTAAAACAAGGCTGTGACACAGCTCAGAGGGAGAGTGTGGCCCTTACACAGACCAGGACCTTCCCCTTCCCTCTGATTACATCATGTGTGGCTGTGTTCTCTCTGCTCCAGATGGCCCGGACACCCCCACCATTTCCCCCTCCGACTCCCATTACCTTCGTGGGACAAACCTCAGCCTCTCCTGCCAGGCAGCCTGTAATCCGCCTGCACTGTATTCTTGGATTATCAATGGGAGGCCCCAGCAACCCACACAAGAGCTCTTTATCCCCAACATCACTGCACATGACAGTGGATCCTATATCTGCCTCGCCCATAACTCTATCACTGGCCTCACAAGGACCACAGTCAAGAACATCACAGTCTATGGTAAGTGCCTCCTGGACCATGTGCATTAAGCTTTGGGGTGCAAATCTGTCTGGTTTTCAGAAAAGAACCTGAGGTGGCCATGGACACAAGCAAATCACAGTCTTCCCCTGAGCCCTCCCACTACATCTCTGTAGACTCCCCTCCCTTACTCTTCTGATCTCTCATGGCAGAGTTGGGGTCCAGTCATGGAAAGTGAGGAGGGGTTCTCTCAGCCCCAGAAAGAGTCAAGTGGTGGAGGGAAGGGGCTTCCCAGAAGTAAGACAAGGGTCCTCAAGGTCAAGTTGCTTCTTCTGTCACTAACACTTTCCTTCTGTCACCTCTTGTCTGTTACCTGTTCTGTGTGCTACAAGGAACATACAAGGCTTTGAACAAGCTCACCTCTTTTCCTCAAACTAAAGAAGGACACCACCTCTGAGGAGGGGTGAGCAGGTCAGATCCCTGCTCCCTGTGCGGTTCCAGGCTCACCTGGTGACTGGCTGCTCTGTGCCCTCTGTGGTGGGACAGGGGTCTGTGATGATGGGGCATGGGTGGCCTATCCTCTGACTGGCCAAATCATGTCACCCATCGACACTATGGCTTCCCTCAGACCAGGCTGCATGTAAATGGGGAGTGGGGGAGCCTCTGAGCTGTGTCCTGACTCTGAAGTCACCTGCTGTACAACACTGTGCGACACCAGTGTATGTGACATTCCTACCGAGAGCAGTGAATGATGGTGCTTACTTGACAAGAAGGTAGATTCATGGGACAGAAGCAGTGCTACAAAGTGTGTACTTTACTGAGGAAGCTAAGAGTACCAGCTATTGTTAAAACTGACTACTTCTCTCTAGGGACGTCGTTCTCCCTGATATTCAATCCACAGGCCAGGAAGTGAACGTCCTATTCAGATGGAGAAATTCTTTAGATTGAAACTTCTCCAGGTCCTAAGGTCATGAAGACTGGCTGGGCTATATTCTCTAATAAGTTACTTAACAAAAAGGAAATGCCTTCCCATCTGTGTGAGTGTTTAGAAGATTACAGAAAGGCCCTAGCCGAATTGGCTCTGTGGTTGGAGCATTGGTCTGCAAACTGAGGAGTCCCAGGTTTTATTTCGGTCAGGGGCATGTGCTTTGGGTGTCTGCACCCCCCAGTGGGAGGTGTACAGGCAGAAAGCTGATTGATGTTTCTAACTCTCTATCCCTCTCCCTTCCTCTCTGTAAAAAAAAAAATCAATGAAATTAAAAAAAAAAGTTACAGAAAGGTCTATGAATGCTGTTGTCAGTATCTGTAAGAAATCAGTGAAAATGTCATATATCACTCACCAGTTCTGTGACCACCAGCCATTGATTAAGCACCTCTCATCCCTGATTCTGTTTGTGCTCATGGGGGTGACACCCTCCATCCCTCGTGGTGGGTGGAAGGACCAGATGACATGAAGGTAGAGTGTTTCCCACCCTGCCTGGACCATCAAAAACACTCAGCACATTCTTATTACACGTCAGCACTGAACTGACAGGTAATGTGCCTGCTAAGACTGTCCATTGTGATTAAAATAAGAAACAGGGGCAAGAGACTGAATATGTGAAGGAAAGAGAAGTTAAGAGGAAAATTACACAAGACACGAGAATGGTGGGTGTGAGATGCATGCAAAGGTAGAGCCAATGGAAGGTTTAAATGTGTAAAACAGAGAATGATGCAACCGCTGGGAGAGGCGTGTCAGAACAGACACCCCCAAACTGCACAGACTAGGTGGCAGTTCCTTCCTCCCTCACCAGGCCTCCCCCTGCAAGGACCATCATGGTTTCCCCTGAATGGACTTGGGCCTTCACCCCTCCTCCTTTCCCTTCTCCTTTCAGCAGAACAAACCTACCTGAGCTACTCTGTGGGGACCATCGTTGGTGGCGTGATCGGGGTCCTCGTCGTGGTGACTCTGGGAGCCTCCCTGGGCTATTTCCTGTACTTCAGGAGGACTAGGAGGTACCTTCACCCATACCCTAATCCTGTCCCCTGACCCAGGCTAACCCCCAGCAGAGCCCAGGCCTGGAGGACAAAGGCCCTGTCCTCAAAGGGTAATGGGCCAGCTCCCTGTGGCCTCCCAGCTTCCCCATGGATGTCCTTAACTCTCCATCCAGCTCCTCCCTCACCAGCTGCTGACCAGGTGGTTTCCTCAACAGCTTCCTCACCTATAAATGAGGCATGATTAAGGAACTGTGCGCTCAGGACTGTCCTGGTTCTCTCCACACACCTGCAGCAGTACAGGCAGGAATTAAGTGCTCAGTAAGGCACCTCCTGTTGTTTATCTAAGTCCACCCTCCCATCCCCTGAGGGGATGGGCTGCCTCAGGGTCTGAAAGTCATCCTGGCCAAGGACACACAGCTGAGGATGGAAGAGCCAGGACAGGCAGGGTTGGGTCAAATGCCCTCACGAGGCCATTCTGATAACTGCGACCCTGATGTGTAAGACAGGACTACAGCAGGGTCTGTGGTGTGGTTTTCACCTCTAGGTCAGGTGGATGGAGCCATGACAGGAGCTCTGTAGGCCTGAGGGGTGGGTCTGGCCACAGCAGATGCTACATGAGGCTGGCACTGCTGCCCCTGTGGCCTTGTACTTTCCACTAAGTCAGACCCTCGGGGTGGACTCCTGTCTTGGGAACTCAGTCCCCTCCCTGTTACTCCTCCCAGACCCCCATCTGCCTGTGGATCCTTCCCCTGTGGGCCCAAGTCAGCCCTGGATCCTTAAGGCCTTGCCTCAGTTCCCCTCTCCTGGGCCCGTCCCCCCTAAACAGTGGAGAGAGGCCTGCACCCTCTGCTGGGAAAGGAGACCCTCCCTGCCCCCTGTTGTGACACCAAAGCTCCCTGCACCCCTCACATTAAGTCTGTCCTTTCCCAGGGCCAGTGACCCACGTGATCCCCAAGAGCACCCACCTCCAGCCACCACCCCTGGTGAGTGTCTGTTCAGCCTGGAGCCCCTGGGCCTGCTCCAGAGTGGCCACCCCTGCCCTTGTCCCTCAGGCTCAGATCCTTCCCTAGTCTTCAAGGGGATTCTCATCGCCACTCTGCATAGGGGACCTCTACTTACCCGTCAACCTAACGTGTAGGCTGTGTCATGTGTCACCACCTTTTTCTCACTGGACCCTGAAATGGCAAGAGGGTCTTGCCTTGGGAGATGACCTTTCACCCCTATCTCTTGGGTGCTAAAGAACCACCCCCTCCTGGGAGAAGAGCCAAAGCTTCCCCCCCCCCTGGGTGCTAACACTTCCTGTCTCTGCTCCCAGGCCAGGGTCCATCTGGAATATCTGCCTTCCGGGTAAGTCCATCCCCTCCCTGTTCCCTCACCCAGGGCCTCAGCTGCCTCAGGGTCTGAAAGTCATCCTGGCCAAGGACACACAGCTGAGGATGGAAGAGCCAGGACAGGCAGGGTTGGGTCAAATGCCCTCACGAGGCCATTCTGATAACTGCGACCCTGATGTGTAAGACAGGACTACAGCAGGGTCTGTGGTGTGGTTTTCACCTCTAGGTCAGGTGGATGGAGCCATGACAGGAGCTCTGTAGGCCTGAGGGGTGGGTCTGGCCACAGCAGATGCTACATGAGGCTGGCACTGCTGCCCAGGGCAGGGGCACCATCGATACTCGCAACACAGCACAGAACCCTTCCACAGAAGAGCCAGCACAAGGGGAGCCCCGTCCTGGTCTGGTGGGGCCCCCACATCAGAGATTGACAGGCAGGGCCAGAATCTGAGGGGAACCCTGGAGTCAAGCATGGAGTAAAATGGGCTCTGTGAGCACCTGGCTGAGGTCCCAGGCTAACAAGGGGGGTGCAGTATGGCCAGAAATTGGGGTGCTGGGCTACAGGTGTAAAGACAGCTGCTCAGGAGGCAGAGCTGTCAGTCCTGTGGAGAAAACGTCCCTCCCTGTCCTCTGATGCCCTCTCTCCTCCCTACACAGGGCCCCCTACCCGACCCCAAGACTGCAGGTCTCATCTACGAGGTGAGTGTGGGGTATGAACCTTCTGTCCTGCAGGTCCCAGGGGCCCCAAGACCTGCCTCCAGCCCAGACCTGGCTGTGCTTCGAGCTCAGGAAAGGGCAGTGGAAAGTGACAACAGAGGGTGAGAAGAGGGAGGAACCTGGGAACAGACACCCAAGCACAGTCAACCCCCAGAGCACCTGTGAAACATGGCACTTGTTCTGAGAAGGCTGCAGGGCTCAGAGATCTCTTCTTTCTTTGACAGGAATTACTCAACCCAAACACAGAGGTGTACTGCCGGATCAGCCCCAGAGCAGACATGGCTTCTTAGTGACTCCAGAACCTGACACCCCAGACCCTGTGGATGTGGCCTGCACCAGAGAACCAGCTCTGAGCATCATGCTAAGTGAAATAAGCCAATGGGAAAAAGATAAATATCACATGTTCTCACTCATTTGTGGAATATAATGAAAAAGATAAACTGATGAACAAAATAGAGCCAGAGGGGAGAAAAATATTTTAGAATATAATAGTAGTAATCCTGTTATTACAGACTTTTAATATTTCCTACAATGTTTGTGATATCACACTATGTTATACAATTTTGATAATATTATTATACTTAAAATCCTATTTTCTTAAAATATTAATGTTTATTTCATGTAATATTATATTTAAGATCATTTTTTTGAAAATTTTGTTTATTGCATTTAACATTATTATATTTAAAATAGTTTCTCTTGAAATAAAAAAATAAAATAAAATGCTTAAGGGATTGCTGAGAAGAAACAGAGAGAGAAACCTACTCATGCAGAATTAAAATGTCTATAAATAAGTAACTCTCAATAATAACCCTAAATGTAAATGGATTAAATAATCCAATCAAAAGGAGTGGGGTAGATGAATGGATACAAAAATATGACTCAACTATATGCTGTCAACAAGAGACCCACCTAAAAAAAAGAGACACACACAGAATGAAAGTGAAGGAATGGAAAATTTTTTTCCATTTAAATGGAAAGAAAACAAAGCTGAAGGAACAATTCTCCTGAGAAAATAGATTTCAAAATGAAAGCCATCATAAGAGACAACAAAGGGCATTACATAAAACTAAAAAGATTAATCCAACAAGAGTATATAACCCTGGTAAACATATATGCACCCAATATAGGTGCTCCTAAATATATAACAAACTTCTAGAGGACTGTAATGGAGAAATTGACAACAATACAGTCATAGTAGGGGATTTTAACACCCCTCTGACTTCACTGGACATATCTTCCAGACAAAAACTTAACAAGAAAAGAGAGATTCTATAGGACACACTGGATCAAATGGATTTAATTAACATTTATAGAACATTTCACCCCAACACAGCAGAATATACATTCTTCTCAAGTGCACATGGATCATTTACAAAGATAGACCTCATGTTAGGACACAAAACAAGTCTCTACAAGTTCAAGAAGATTGAAATAAGATCAAGCATCTTCTCAGATCACAGTGGAATGAAATTAGAAATCAATTACAATAAGAAACACTCAAACAACTGGAATTAAATAGCATGTTATTAAACACTGAATGAGTTACCAACAACATCAAGAAAGAAATAAAAAACTTCCTTGAAATAAATGAAAATGAACACACAATAATCAAAATCTCTGGGACACAGCAAAAGCAGTCCTTAGTGGGAAGTTCACTGTACTACAGGCATATCTCAAAAAGCGAGAAAAATCAGCAGTAAACTATTTAACCTTACAACTTAAAGAACTATAAATAGAACAAGAAAAGCCTAGAGTAAGTAGGAAAAAAAGGAAATAATAAAGATTAGAGCAGAAATAAATAACATTAAAAAAATACAAGAAATCAATGAAACTAAGAGCTCATTCTTTGAAAGGATAAACAAAACTGATAAGCCATTAGCCTTATTCATCAAGAAACAGAGAGAGAGAACCCAAATAAATAAAATAAGAAATGAAAGTGGAGATATAACCATGGACATCACATGACTACAAAGGATTATAAGAAAATACTATGAACAACTATATGCCAACAAGCTGGAACATGTGAATAAAATAGACAAATTCCTAGAAAAACACAATCTCCCGAAACTTGATCAAGAAGAATAAAAATAAATAAAAAATCCTGAATAGACCAGTAACAACCAATGAAATAGAAGCAGTAAACAAAAAACTCCCACCAAACAAAAGCCCAGGTCCAGATGGCTTCACAGGGGAGTTTCTCCAAACATTCAAAGAAGAACTAACACCTATAGTCCTCAAACTATTTCAGAAAATCTAAGAGGAAGGAACACTTCGAAACTCTTTTTATGATTCCAGCATTATCCTAATTCCAAAACCAGATAAAGACACTATAAAGAAAGAGTATTACAGGCCAATATCCCTGATGAACATAGATGCTAAAATCCTCAACAATATATTAGCAAATTGCATCCAGCAATATATTAAAAAGATCATACACCATGATCAAGTGGTATGTATTCCAGAGATACAAGGCTGGTACAATATTTTCAAATCAATAAATGTGATACATCACATAAACAAGTTGAAAGTCAAAAATCACATGATCACATCAATAGATGGAGAAAAAGCATCAGACAAAATCCAACATCCATTTTTGATAAAAACTCTCAGAAAGGAGGGATAGAGGGAGCATATCTCAATATGATAAAGGCCATATATGGCAAATGTATAGTCAATATCATACTCAATGGGCAGAAACTACAATCATTTTCCCTAATAACAGAAACAAGGCAGGGATGCCCACTTTCACCACTTCTGTTTGATATAGTACTGGAACTGCTAGCCATGGTGATCAGACAAGAAGAAGAAATAAAAGGCATCCAAATTGGGGGGCGGGGGAGTAAAACTATCATTATTCTCAGATGACATGATATTGTACTTAGAAAACCCCAAAGACTCCATCAAAAAACTACTAAACTTGGGAGAAACCAAGATGATGGCATAGGTAAACACCTAAACAGCTGCCTCGTACAACAATTTCAAAACTACAACTAAAAGACAAAACTGACATCATCCAGAACAACAGGAAAGCTGGCTGAGTGGAAATTCTACAATTAGAAGGAAAGAAAAAAGCACCTTGAGACTCAAAGGACCTTCAAAAGGCTGAGGTATGGAGACTCACACGTACGGAGAGACTGGTAACTGAATTCATGTCTGGCTTTTTCAAGCAGGAAGGAGACAAAAGCTCCTGACTGCATTGAACTCAAGTTTCGGGCAAGACTCTGGGGACCCAGACTCATTCGGGGAGAAACTGGACTGTCTGGCAGTGGGCAAAACTCAAGGGTGGCTTTCTCTCAGAGGTGCATGCAATGATTATCTTGGACACTAAGGCCCAGGGGTCTCTTAGGGCAGGGCTGATGGGAAGCTACGGCTGTCTGCTCAGCCCTGAGACTCCACCCCATCCAAGCTGAACACAGAGGCTTTTTGAAAGTCTTGTCTCATAAGGGTGTCTTCAGAATAGAAGTTCTCCCAACATAGACACAGCTAATCCTCACAGCCAACAACAATCAAGGCTTAACTACAACAAGGCTGTGCACAGAACCCACAAAGGGATACACCAAGAGTGTCCACCTCTAGTAACTGGGGATGCTGAGCCACTGGGCCCTATAGGACACCTACCACACAAAGCCACTCTATCAACTCAGGGAAGCAGCCAAAATGTGGAGACAAAGAAACAGATCACAAATGAAAGAAATGGAGGAAAGCAAATGACTGGATATAGAATTCAAAACCACGGTTATAAGGTTTTTCAAGACTTTCCTAGAAAAGGCCAATATATTTAGCGAGACCCTCAAGGATATAAAAAAGGATCAAGTAGAAATTAAACATACACTGACTGAAATAAAAAATATTATACAGAGACCCAACAGCAGAATAGAGGAACGCAAGAATCAAGTCAAAAATTTGAAATACAAAAAAGCAAATAACACTCAACTGTGAAAAAAAAAAGTATACAAAAATATGAAGATAGTGTAAGGAGACAACTTCAAGCGTACCAACATCAGAATTATGGGGGTGCCAGAAGAAGAGAAAAAGCAAGATACTGAAAATCTATTTGAAGAAATAATGACAGAAAACTTCCTCCACCCGGTGAAAGAAATAGACTTACAAGTACAGGAAGCACAGAGAACCCCAAATAAAAGGAATCCAAAGAGGACCACACCAAGACACATCATAATTAAGATGATCAGATTTTAATATTGGTAAAGCAGGACATCATTGACTGGGAGGGGGGGGAAGGGTTCTTGATTAAAACTTTGGTCTATATGGAGCAACAAAAATTTTCATAGATGCAAAAATAGTACTGTAATTTTTTTTAATTTCAACATAAGTACAATTTACAAATATAATAAATAAATAAATTATGTATAGTATTAGTTTATTCTTTGGCATATTTCTCATTTGAGTGAATTTCTTTTTAGTAGATTGCTGTCATTGTTTAAAAGGTCATGAAATTTTTCACTAGAATTTGTTAAATTATATTTTACACATAAAATGGCTTTCAAAGTCTCAACACTTAATTGTGACTTTTCTGATGTCCATACTTTATTTACCATAGAAAAAACTCGTTCAGTTGCAGCATTAGTTCCTGGTAAGGACAGCGCATATTCCACAATTCTAACAACTGATCAACAATTCGAACTTTGATAAGCAGTTCTTAATAATCAGTTCTCAACAATTATTTGTTATTATTAAAGTTTAACATTATAAAATTAACAAAAATAATATAAAACTCATATCCTGACTAAATAACCACATGGCCACTGATAACCATATATTCCCTTCCCATTCTCCTGCTGTTCCCTAGCTTGTCATGCATTCTTTCCAAAAATTGGGACTTTTTTAAAACGCCAAGGAATGCAGGACAAAATGTTAAAAATCAGGACTGTCCTGCCAAAAGCAGAACGTCTGGTCACCTTAATCATAATTAAAATGCCAAGAGGAAAAAAACAATGGAGCCCGGGAGATCCAGGATGGCTGCTTGGGTAGACATCTAACCGCGGCAGCGCACAACAATTTCAATGGAATACAACTGGGGTGTGGAGTGGACATTGCCCAGAGCTACGGGTGGTCGACTGGCTGAAAGTTCTACAGCAAGGGGGAGACAGAGGGCCAGGGGAGAAATCAGAGGAGCTGAAAAAAAGCCTAAGGTACGGAGACATGCTGCGCGCCCGCCCGCACTCGCGCACAGAGGGGTCGCAGCCGGAGAGGAGGAAAGGGCTGGGTGCTGCCTGGCGTTCCCTAGCAGGAAGGAAATAAACCCCCCAGCCTGGACTGAACCCCCGAA